AATTTAGGCCAAGATGTATTCTACTACATGTCTTTGGTGAAAATAACCCAAACTAGGATGTATTTTTTAGTTTGTAGGAAAGTTATAGAGTTCACAAACTATGGGATAGATCTGAATATTGATCAATCCTTAAGTACTGACAGCCAATCTAATTTCTTGACGTCCAAGAATGTCAGAACAGTACAGATATCCCCCAAATGACCCCTTTTTGCAAAGTAGACAGTCCGACGTACTTCATAACAGGCATGGCGAGTTTTTTTAAGTTGTATTTTTTTGTCATAATTTTTCGGAAAATGTCCAAATTAAAAAAATTATTTTCACTATTTTTTTTTTTTTTTACATACTGTCACCAGTGCAGTACAGCGTCATCATATAACTGGCATGGCGGTGATCATGGACACTGACTGGTGACAGTATGGGGGGAAAAAAAAAAAAAAAAAAAAAAAAAAAAAAAAAATATATATATATATATATATATATATATATATATATATATATAATATATAATTTTATTTTTTTCATATTTCGCTATGTCCAAAGTAGTACAATGTTACCATAGTAACATTGTACTACTTTGGGGAAGTGATCAGTATTTTTTTTTTTTTTTTTTTCAACACAATTTGCTTATAGCAAAGAATTACTTTGCCATAAGCAAGCATTTACCTGAATGACATTGATTCATTCAGGCTCTGTTTTTTTGCTTAGCTGTGATTTGGCCACAGCTAATCACGTGACATGTGCATGTGATCGCTGTGACTATTCACAGCTAGATACTAGTATACAATGGATGGCATGAATGAAGCCATCCATTGTATACAACTGTCATGTGACCTGCTGTGATTGGTCACAGCAGGTCACATGGTACCAGCAACGGGGGCCGGTACTCAGATATGTCATAGGCCGTGTCCGAGGTACACGGCTGGTGACAGATCGCGGCTCTGCAAGCGCGAAAACTGCGCATGCCCGGGAGCACACCATATGGCGTCCACCCGGAAATCTGCAGTATTTTGCCTGCCGCCAAACGGCTATTGGCTGGGCGGCTATTGGTTAAAAATACCGAAAAAAACAAAACTATTGAAAAGAAAAACACCTGATTATACTAATAAACTTGCCCCTCTTTGTGATGATTACTAGCCAAGGAAGTCCCCCTAAGGTTTCAAAGAACCGTTAGACATCTTGGCTGTTGCCTGCTAAGTTTTGCAGTTACAGTCAAAAGTCATTTTATTTCTGTGGGTACATAGAGGCATGATTAATTTCGGTGCATTTGTTTTCCTTTTTTTTTTTCTCCACCTTTTGGGCTGGTTCACACCAGATGCAGTTCAGATGCATCTTCTTTTAGGCTGTATATGAACAGTTGGCCATAGGGACATATTTGAAGAAGAACATCTTGTGGCGTATAATAACCACTCCACGTTAGTATTAGTATTACTAAACCCACAACTGTCAAATCAGTCTGTATATGCAGTAAATCATGCTTGTTATAATCACTGTGGAACTTAAGGGGTTAATCCTCTGCATTGTGTGAAAAGGCTGTGTGAGTCTGTCTTCTGTGATCCTCCCCTTCTACTGTCCACAATCCATCTGCTGATAGTACAGAGCAGCAGTGGCAAGTCTGCACATGCTCTGCTTGGTGTGTATTGCTTTTTTTTTTTTTTTTTTTGGGAGGGTGCATGTGATCGGCAAAGGACTCATCAGCGCTCTCCAGATAGCAGGTCAGGGGTCATGCAGCCTCATAGAACAGTCAGATGAGAATGAAAACTTCTCCTACAGGATTAAACCGTGCTCTCCTGGGCACTGATAGAAGCCACAAGACTGCTATATACTGTTGATGAGAAAACATATTTAGCAGCTTATATTTACTAAAATTATTAAAATAGTTGCATTTCCATGTTCTGTGCACTGTGGAAGATTTAGTAACACTTTAATAATGTTGAAAGTAAAATAAGTATTCTGTTGCACTGTTTATATATGCAATAAAAAAAATTGCCTCTTTGGCTAAACACATCCAGAACATTTTTTAAGGGCACCTAAAAGTGCTACTAAAGAATTACCAGGCATGTGATTTTTCCATGGAGGACAAAGCAACAGGCTTTCTTTAAAGCCAGGTTCCTTCATGTCCACACTGCTCCATTTAGCTGCGATGAGCAAGAGAAAATACCTGGTTCTTCTTGATATGGAGATGCATGTTACTCACTCACCCTTCCTGTCATGTGACAGAGCTGGTGTTTTAGTGATTGGCCCACTGCTGTCACATGTTGATGTGGAGAAAGCCCTCAGCCTTGTGCAAGATCTGACTAGAGCAACTTGGAGCTTACACATAGCTTTCTTTCTACTCTCTTGGGAGCTAGTGATGAAGTAGCAAAGGGATGGGCAAAGCAGAAGTTTGCTTAAAGCTAGGGTTCCCCTTTTAAAGGCTGAATGTACGACGTGTGAATATAGGTGTCATATTGTTTCTCATACCTGGTTGTACAATGCCAGAAGTCATACAATAGTGCTGTGTGTACAGTGCATACTTTAGGTTAGGGTTATGAAGCAAAAATGCACCATATGAAATAAGCAGTGAGAAGCTGAAGGAAGAATTATGATTTGCCAACAAAATGTATGTGTTTTCCCAGCCAATCCCTGTTAACACATCAGGAGCTGGCCTTACTTGACATATTCTTCTCACAGCTCAGTTAGTGCTGCAGGTATCTGCAGATGACTTAGAGTGTAAATAAGCCCTCCTATTTTTTACAGTCAAAGAATCTACTATCTTTGCCTTTGTTTGGTCTGTAGTTGCCATGGTGTTCCACATGTGATTTGCTATGACGCCAACCATTTGATGGCTTGACAGTTTGGTGGGGAGAACGAGCAGTTGCTTGAAATTCTGCTGTAAACAGTGAGCAGGTAGGCTTTTATTTTCTGAAGAGACAAGCACCATCTGTTCTGCAATAAAATGGCCCTACTTGCCTTCTGGCTGTCTCTGGTTCTTTAAAATGAGCTGCACATGCGCAGCTCAGTTTACAGCACCAGGCCCGTGTCTGAGTGCCGAGATGACTAGCTGATGCACATTCACAGGAGTGGCGCAATCCCCTGCCCATAAATGAAGAGGACTAAAGATTGGCACTCAGAAGAAGATGCTGGCATCGGCAAGGGACCTTTTGGACAGGTATGTATTCACCCTTTTTGTTCCGCTTTAAAGTGGAACTTTACCCATAACAATTTGATAACATTTAATGTTCTTTAACAAAAGCACATACATTCCACATTAATAATTATGCTAATAAAATTTGTGTGCTGTAAATTTTCCCCATTTTTTTCTTTCTGGAGGCCACCATTTTGTTCAGGCCCAAAGCAGTCACTTTCTTACTGATAATTCTCCTCCTCTCCTTGGTCTCAAAAACTGGCACTGGCTGTAATTAAAATGTGTGTATTTCCAGCCTTGATTGTATGTCTTGACTCAGCTAGAGAGTAAGGAGAACAGAAGCTTTGGAGTGGCTTCACACTGATCCGCAGTGCTTTCTGTGGTTTTGGTAGTTTTTCTGAATGTGCATCAAAACCACAGGACATATTGGAAGTCCATGGGAAAGCACAGCTAACCTGCACAAAAAACACTGTACTGCACCCGCACTGTGGCCAAAGTGCAGCGGGGGCAATGTGAAAAATGCCGTTACATTGCTAAGTTTTGTTGGGCTGCCACTGCAGGGAGAACGGGAAGAATATCAGGGAGATAACATAAGGCACTATCCTTGTAAGTTTAACTCTTTTGTGTCGCCGTGGCAGCAGAGTTTGTCCTATCACTTCTCCTGCTTTAACTCTTCTCTCTTCCTAATCTATGTTCCCTCGCACAGTTTGTGTCATTCCTGTTTCTTCTTCCCACTCAACAGTAAATCTTTAGGCTGTCAGCTGATCTGCCTCTAGTGACTCGCTGGTTATCGGCAGAGCGCCAAGAATACAGGACAACTGAGGTTGTGCAGCGCAGGGTGAGACAGTGCCTTATTGGATTTTAAACAGTATAGGCACCTATTTTAATGTTTTACATTTCTGAAACTCAATCTTGACCCCCAAACTACCCCCCCCCCCCCCCCCCCCACACACACACACACACACACACACACCGCATCAAATAATGGGTGTGGTGAAATTTCACTAACAGTAGGAGGGTCTTAAGGGCATTAAATACCAGGAGTGCATTTTATACAGAGTGCACAATTGAGGGCTGCATTACATACATAGTGCAGAGTTCAGGGGTACGCTGCATACAGAGTGCAGAGTCCGGCCTTCTTCCACAGCTGCTTACCTCTGCATCTCCCATCCACATCTCCCTTCCACCCCTCGTCAGCTCTGACTTTTGCATGCACCCCATCCACTGCCTCCATCTTCTCCTCCCCTCCCTCCCCCTCCTTGAAAGCTCCGCCAATATGTCTTACTTTTTTTGCTGTATTAACCCGAAGCACCCAGCCGGCTCTAGTAACTCCCCGCACACTATAGGCAGCTCTGCCTCTCTCACCTTCAGGATGATCATCCAGTTGGGGCGTCGTGTACCTGAATCTCCCTTGTCCCCAACCTGCACTCAATGGGAGCTGCTTAGGAGATCAGATCTGTGGGAGCTGTTAGCAAACAAGCTCTCACTTGTAAACACAGAAGCCAGACTTCTGTGTTTACAAGTGATAGTGATGAACAGGGAGGAGAGGGCTTGAGCCAGAGGTGGTGGAGCTGAGTTCCACCAAGGTCCAGCTGAAACAAAGCCTTATTGCTGTACCTCTAGAAGTGGCCAGCCTGAAGTAGTCTATCTGGACTTAATTACTGAAGTTCCACTTTAAATCGATGGGTTTAGTTCCACATTTGGAAGTACACAGAAATTTAAGCAGGGACTTTCAAAATCCAGTACAGCTTTCAGATGGCTGTAAGAGAAAATAAAAAAGATAAGTTTACAGTTGCATACATGTTTAAATATTTTTATATATTGAAAGAGCCAAGGTATTTTAAAAGTCAACCATTTTTTTTCTTTATGTTAACAGGATTATCCATGCTAGCAACCTGTGCAGGCCTTTTAGTTTTGCCTTGGTGTAAGAAGGCTATTCTTCTGACTGGAGTGATGTCTGTTGTGGGCATATCCATGGGATTCTTAGATACTGGTAATTTTTTTCTTCTCCTCTAACATTCCATAGGAATATAAAATCATTATCAAGGTGATGTTCTTTATTATACACTATTATGCTAAGAAGGACTGTTCTAAATAACACAAATGTATCTAACAAGTGTTTGGAAGTTGTTACAGGTTATTGCTTTTGCAGAGAATGCAGGTAAAATAAAGCTTACGATGACCTTTCTCAACCTTTTCATCCTAGAGAAACCCCTAAAATAATTATAATGTCTCAGGGAACCCTAACTTGCCAGTTTATCGGGGTCAAGGGGAGCAAATGCCTTTTTAGATATGCCTTGACCACTAAAAAGATCATTGGTGTCATGCTGCTGGCTTTGGCAAGTGATATTGGACTTGGAGGTATGCAGGCAAGATCAGATGGAAGGTCAATCAGCTACAGCTCAAGGAACCCCTAGCAACCTCTGGAGGAACATTATGGTTTCACACAACCCAGGTGGAAAATAGCTGTCCTAAGACATCCCTAAGAGAATGTGCTCTAACAGTATTCACCTTTTATTTTTAATCCTGTCTTGGTTAAATTTGTTGTCCACTCAATCTTCCCATAAAATTATTTGTTTAGGCATGTCATTTGTAAAATCCTCCTTTTTGTACGCTTCCAAAAGCCATGATACTGCTGCTGGTAATCACCCTCTTGGATGTGATGTCCGCAACCCCAGGACAGACAGTAACTGCACACTCCCAGAAGAGGAGACTTTTTAACGGTTTATGAACATTGGAAGTTTGTATAACATTGTTTAAAATTGCTGCAAGTTGAATACTTAATTTTTTTTTTTTTTTTTCTGTGCGTTGCACAAAAACACTTATTCCACATTAGGTGCTATAGAACTACCCAGAAAAGCGTCTCGTACAGTATATTGATATATGATACAATATAGAATGTTAAAGCGGCTCAAAATTGCTCAGGCTTCTGGTGCGATAGCTGCGGTGCAAATTTCATTTGATTCTTCTCCACTTGCATTTCCCATTCTACTTGATGCAGTGCAAATTTGGAATGCAGTGCTCAAAAGCGCACATGATTCTTTTTCAAAAATGCACTGTGGATCACCCGTATCAGCCTAAACACGCTCCATAGGAACACATTGCTTTTTTGTACTCGTGAATCTGCAAGCACAAGCCGCATGGATCATCACACATTTGAGAACCAGGGCTGAGACATACTAGAGAGTTAGCCTGGGGCAGTGGCTGTTTTTTGTACTGTTGAATTGGTCGAGGGGATGTGCTAGATAGCTTAGCTGCCATTGTGCTACATGCTGGGTGTCCAGTGCGCTTCTGTACCTTTTTAAGGAGGGCTGGGCTCCCTCAGGTCCATCTGCCCTTGGTCTATCCATTAAATACATGTGCCTCTACAATGGGGGCTCTTAAAATTGGAGCGTTAGGAACTACAGAATACTGGGGTGCCGTGACGAGGCTCTGTAGCTTACGCATTTATTTGCAAATGTGTGCTAACTAAACTGCTAGACAGGTAATTCGGTTTGTTTGCAGGCTGACTGGCAAGGGTGAGATGGGAATTTTCCTTTTTTGTTGTTTGACATGCATCACTCATCCATGTGCTCCTTGCTGTGAAGGCCAGTTGTAGACTGGTGCAGTGGCCATTTTTATTATATGAAAAATAAGTGCATGAAAACGTCCCTATCATAAATTATATATAAAGTGCAAGTCCAGCCACATATCCCAAGTTAAAGAAAAGAGCAAATACAATCCGCAGAAGAAACTTCACAATGACAATTCTTTGACCATCACGCCACCTCTGCCAAAAGGAAGCTCTTATCGGAAGGTATTGACCTCCAAACAAATGAGTGGTCATACAGCGGTTTTTATATATATATATATATATATATATATATATATATATATATATATATATACAGTATAGTATATATTCCCACAGATGTGATATGATATTCTCCAGCATCATATAATGGTAGCCACTCTCATAAGCGACCTTACAAAAGGAAAAAGGAAGGAACGTATTCCCAATAGTCCAGCTCAATGGTCCAGGTATCACCTTATGCTACCAGTAGTGACACTGAACCCAGCCAAATGCAAAACTAGTGAAAAACAGTCAGAAAAAGATGAGTAGGGAAGAAAATGTCAGTGGCCTTCACCTGTAAAACCATTCCTATTTTGGGATTCATCTCATTGTTGCCCATCTAGTGCACCTGTTGTTAATTTCATTAACACCAACGCAGCTGAAACTGATTAACAGCTCCCTCTGCTACTTAACTGACCAGATCAATATCCCAGGAGTTTAATTGACTTGATGCTATACTCTGGTTAAAATGTTTTCCTTTTTCCAATGTTTTTTAAAAGTGTATTTCTAAAGGTGCTATGGACATGAAATTTTCACTACATGTCAGTAACAACCCATGCAATACATACATACAAAGAAACAAAAGCATAAGTTCAGAAATTAAGTTGTGTGTAATAAACTGGAATGACACAGGGAAAAAGTGTTGAACACGTGAAGAAAGGGAGGTGCAAAAGGGCATGAAAAGCCAAGCCACCAGTTGAAATCTATCAGTAATTAGCAATCCTGCCCCTTGTCAGTGCAGATTAATATCAGCTGGTTCAGTCTCAACTGATGGCCTGTAAAAAGGTGTCTCATTACCAAAGTGTCTCACAAGAAACATCTCATGATGGTTAAAAGCAAAGAACTCTCTCAAGACCTTTGCAACCTTATTGTTGAAAAATATACTGATGGCATTAATTACAGAAGGATTTCTAAACATCTGAATGTTCCAGTGAACACTGTTGAGGCCATAATCCAGCAGTGGAAAGCACATCATTTCACCATAAACCGGCCACGACTAGGTGCTCCTTGCAAGATTTCTGACAGAGGAGTGAAAAAAATTATCAGAAGAGTTGTCCAAGAGCCAAGGAACACTTGTGGAGAGCTTCAGAAAGACCCGGAATTAGCAGGTACAATTGTTACAAAGAAAACAATAAGTAATGCATTGAGCCACCATGGCCTTAATGCACACTCCCCACACAAGACTTAATTGCTGAAGAAAAAAGCATGTTGAAGCTCATTTAACGTTTGCTGCACAACATTTAGACAAGCCTGTGAAATACTGGGAGAATATAGTCTGGTCAGATGAGACCAAAATTGATACACACCTTGTTTGGAGGTCAAATAGCACTGCAAATCACCCCAAAAACACCATATCAACAGTGAAGTTTGGAGGTGGGAACATCATGGCGTGGGGCTGCTTTTCAGCATCCAGTACTGGCAACCATCATATCGTTGAAGAAAGGATGAATGGAAAAATGTACCAAGTCATTCTTGATAAAAAGCTGCTGCCATCTACCAGAATGATGAAGATGAAACAAGGGTGGGCATTTCCGCAAGACAATGATCCCAAACACAAAGCCAAGGAAACTATCAGTTGGTTTCAAAGAGAGAAAATAAAGCTACTAGAATGGTCCAGCCAAACACCTGACCCAAATCCTTAAAAAAAATCTATGGAAAGTTCAGAGTTCATAGAAGAGGCCCACGGAACCTTCAAGATTTGAAGACTGTTTGTGTGGAAGAATGGACCAAAATCACACCAGAGCAATGCATGCGACTAGTTTCTCCATACAGGAGGCATGAAGCTGCCATTACCAAGAAAGACATTTATACAAAGTATTAAATAAAATTCAGGTAGCATGTTCAATACTTTTTTTTTTTTTTCCCCTATGTCATTCTATTTTATTACAAATAACATAATTTCTGAACTTCTTTGTTTTGATTTGTTTGTATGAATTGTATGGGTTGTTACTGACGTGGTGAAAATTTTCAATACTTAGTTTACCCGATGTATACACTATTAAAAACAGGTGTAAAAATTCACATGTGATCAACTGTATAAATGCTCCAAATCAAGAGCATAATGGGGCGCTGGTCCTGGAGCATCAAACATAGTAATAGGAATGGGGGTGGTTCGGAGTCTTGATGGGATGATTAACTCTCACTGCCATGATCACAAATGCAGGGGGAGAGGATATTGGGAAAGGGGAGGGGTGTATAAGATAGCTTTTACACTGTTTAACCATTTTATATATACTAATATTCTGAAAATTAACTTTTATATATCATTTTTACCAAGAAGGTGTGAATGTGCCCAGACATCAAGCAATTTAATATTGTGTGTCTCTGTAAAAAGAACATGTGAAATAGTGTATTATGTTGAATTAACTATTTTAGGTTTGTTATGAATTTTTTTTTTTTTTTTAAACGTATTAATTTGTAATCATTTTTTCTTTTCTCATGCCAGGTGGAAATGTTGTCATTCTGAACACTTGGGGAGATGAAGCTGGACCCCATGTTCAGGCACTGCACTTCAGTTTTGCTCTGGGGGCTCTTCTGGCACCAATCTTGGCAAAAATAATTCCAGAAATTCTGCCCTTTGATCAGATCCATAAAGCATCACAAGAAATGCTAAATATGTCTCTTGAAATTAAGAAGTCAATGCTCTCCTATATTGTTATTGCCACATACATTTTGCTAGTCTCTATATTTTTATTTATCTTGTACTGTAAAAGTCAGCCCAATCGATCAGCCAGTAAGGGTTCAGAAGAGAAAGTAAGGACAGCCAAGTATCACAACGCTCTCATCTTTCTTCTGTGTTTGTTTTTTTTTTTCTATGTTGGAGCAGAAGTTGCCTATGGTTCATACATATTTACCTACGCAATCACTATGGCAGAGATGGATCATGATAAGGCTGCAGGACTGAACTCTGTATTTTGGGGTGTGTTTGCTACAGTTCGAGGCTTGGCTATCTGCTTTGCAACATGTTTGTATCCTGGCACAATGCTGCTTCTTAGTGTTATTGGCTGTACTGTTTCATCTCTATATTTAATGATCTTTTATAAAAAACACATAGTCCTTTGGATTGGAAGTGCACTGTATGGGGCATCAATGGCTACTACCTTTCCCAGTGGATTCTCTTGGGCACAGCAGTACACGACTATAGGAGGCAAGTCGGCTTCCTTATTTGTGGTTGGAGCAGCACTTGGAGAAATGGCAATTCCTGCCTCTGTAGGATACCTTCAGGGACTGTTGCCTACGCTTCCAGTACTTATGTACACCATCTTGGCATCTTCTGCACTGACCGCTGTCTTGTTTCCAGTCATGTACAAACTGGCCACTTCTACGCAGGACAAGCTACGTTGGGATGGAGTTGAAAGTGAAGACCGAAGGGCTTTACTTTCAAGTTCTGGCCTAGAGGAAGAAGAGGAGGAGGATGCTCAGCAATGGAATGATGCAGATTTTGAAGCCATTGAAATGAATGACCGAATTAAGAATTCCATCACTGTGATACCAGAGGATACATCAGAGGTAACTTCCACTTCCAACAGCAACAGCCAGACTTTCTCCAAGAATGGGACACTTGGTGATCAGGTGGTTAACATATCACCTTTAAAAAAGCTGTTGAATGTGGACAGGGAAAAAAATGATTAAATTTGTATTGCAGATTGGTTTTATTATTTGTACCTGCTTGTCATAGAGCAATGCCAGTTGCCTAAAATGCTCTGGAAATTTTATATTTTTGAAGGATAGGGGAACTCCAAACAGAAAAGCCTATTTAAAGCACTTACTTTTGTTGCCCGCCTTTAAAAACTGTATATGTGCGCTACTGTATCTGGACTTGCTATAGCCCAGCTATATAGGTACTTTACCTTGAATAATTAATTTAATCTAGTTAAAATTAATGTTCTTTAAAAACTTTTGCAGCTGGCTGCTAACTTCAAGCTTTTGAGTTGTGGCCAAAGAAAGCACATATTCTGGCTACATAACGTCAGCTAAAATGTCTTGTTTTATTTCGGATATAATGTCAGACTTAGAGCACCAGTCAGGACTATTGCTGTGTCTATTGTGGAGATTTCAACTGGTCTCCTCTCATGGCAGAAAGTGATGTTTCATTTTCCAGTGTGGGACACTTCAATATTTCTGACATTTGTACCTTCCTTTTACAATGACAACTGCTCCCCCATGTCTTGTTGTAGTGTCACAGCAACCTAAAGTGAGACCAAATCCCCCCCAATTGGTTATGGACAGAAATATGGTTAACTCTTTCCTGCTTTTGTATATAAACAGGATGCAGGTTTCATAAATTGGCTCTACACCAGATATATATGTGGAGCCTCAACTAGGTGTTCTGACTTCTGCCTCCTATGCCTTGTAACCTGAAGCATAACTCATAACTCTGGCACGCAGGGGAGAAAAGGCTACAAGGACTGGTGGAGCAGTATGGTGGAGCCTGTGGGAGCAGAGGATCTGGTAACAAATACTGTTTTTTCAGTCCCCTAGACATAAATAAGCAGTTAACCCTTGCAATGCATTGGGCAGCTTCACCGCAAGAGATGTCTTCTATTTCCATTCACTTTTAGGATCCAATTGGAACTGCAGGTAGAAATAAAATGTAAATAGGACTGAAGGTTAGCTTGCTCTATTCCTTCTCGCTGAAAAGTAGCAAGCACTTTCACTGTTGCAGAGGAAGATGACTTTAGCAGTTGAGCAGAGTGTTTAATATGCACTAAGTATAGTCTTAAATACATGTGTCTAGAGGTTTTCCAAAGTGTATGTACAGCAGTACTAATGTGAATTCTTGTAAGCTAGCTTTAAGGTATACAGAAGCTTAATGGACGTTAAACCAGTCTTTGTCATCTAGTGCATAGGTCAGGTTTTCTGGACAGGTGTTCAGAAGTACAGTTTTTGTAATGCAAGCAAGGCAGTGTAATGTGTTACTGAGAACAGAATAATGTATACACTTGTGTGAAAACCCTAAAGTGTTCATTACCAAAGTTTGATCTAAAGATGGTGCAGCTAAAGATTATAGATACATGGTTCACCTTCACCCATCCTAACTACTTCTGTTTCTAAAGTGAACATGTGCAAACAGTAATATTGGAGTTGTCATTTGCTGACATGGTTTTTAAAGGTACTGGGGCTGTTATCCTTAAGTTTGCTTACTTTCTAGTGAGTCTGGAACAAGTACGCAGGGCAGGTTTTAAGACTTTTCATCCTTCGCTACTTACATGCTTACTAGATAGTGAAATCTGGATCAGAATTACAGCCCTAGATCCTTTTGGCTTTAAAAAAAATAAACGGTTACCTTGTATCTTTTATTTCTATATCTTCATTTTTTTTTTTTTCATTTCAAAACAAAAATGATTTCCTTTTGTGAGTACTGTTGTATTCCACGTATGTGGGAATGAAAACTGGCCGTAATTCGTGAAAGTACACTTTTTTATTAGGAATTGCCTTTCTAGCTGCCAAGTTTGTGAAAAAAAATGAATAAATAGTAAGTACCTTATTTAACCACTAGCCTACAGGGCACTTATACCCCCTTCCTGCCCAGTCCAATTTCCAGCTTTCAGCGCTGTCACACTTTGAATGACAATTGCGCGGTCATGCAACACTGTACCCATATTAAATTTTTATCATTTTTTTGAGACAGAGCTTTCTTTGGGTGGTATTTAATCACCTCTGGGATTTTTATTTTTTCTTAAACAAACCAGAAACCACTGAATTTTGAAAAAAAAAACGTGTTTTCTTAGTTTTTGTTATACAATTTTGTAAAAAAGTGATTTTCTCCTTCACTGATGTGCGCTAGTGAGGCTGCAGTGATGGGCACTGATGGGCTACACTGATAGGTGGCACTAATGAGGAGGCACTGGTAGGTTGCATTGATGGGCATTGACAGGCATCACTGACTGGCACTGATAGGCGGCACTGATAGGCGACACTGACTGGCACTGATAGGTGGCACTGACTGGTACTGATGGGTGACACTGAAAGGCAGCTCAGATGGGCACTGATATGTGGCATTGATGTGCACTGTTATGCACTATGTGGCATTGATATGGCACTGATGGGCACGTGGCACTAATGAGCACTGACAGGTGGCACTTCTGGGGCCACACTGATCATCAGGGCACACTGATCATCAGTGCCCTGATGATCAGTGTACATGTCCCCTCCGCGGAAAGCCGATTACCGGCTCTCCTCTCCTCTCGAGCTGTCAGCGTGACAGCTCGAGAGGAGAGAGATGCTGATAACCAGCATTTCCCTGTTTACATGTGATCAGCTGTGATTGGACACAGCTGATCACATGACCGAGCCGACATCTTTTGGCTCTTTCCGTGATCCGCTGTGTCCGAGGGACACACCGCACCGGCGATCGCTTTGAGAATGGTAGGGCGTCATAGGACGTCCTATCAGAACGAGAGGACCACCTTGCGCCCATCATTGTACTATAGGGCAGGAGGAAGGTGGTTAAAATAAACCTGTCATGAGGGAAACATGGAGTTTTGCATTTCTGCAAAACCTGTTCTTCTAATAATAAAGTTTGCCTGGCTGTCATGCTGACCTTGTGGCTTCAATATTTGGGTCACTGGCCTGAGACAAGTATGCAGATAAGGTCTTCTGTCTTTTCTGTTATTCCTGATGTTCATAAATGGTAATGAGGCCATGAAAGTACTGAATCCAGTGGGTCAGCATTACTGCCAGTAAAATGGCACTTTTAGAAGATCAGTAATGATACCCTGATGGGTTTTTTATGGTAAGCTTAATTTTAAGAAATGTCACTCTGATGAAGCTCGGCAAGAAAGCAGATGCTCTGCTCATTTAGCCTGATGCAGAGTCCATTTGCTCTCTTGCTCAGAACTTCCTGTAGTCACCCATCTAACAATTTCTTTCTTATCCATAGAACCTGCATAGAACAACAGTGAAGGGTACTTGCTTATATCTTCAGCTACTCTACTACAGTGAAGGGTACTTGCTTATATCTTCAGCTACCCTTATTTTTATAGTCTTCAGGGACAGCGATAGTTAAAGAATGTGCCTTGAAAGTACAAGTATCCTTTACACATCATGTATCAGCTGTTTGACAGTATTTTCTCTGCAGCTGCTCAGTCCATACAATGCAATGACGGTGACTACAGTTGTTTGAGACTGTTTGCACAGCCAGGAATTCCCTGCATTGATCGTGGCTGGACACAGACTATATTCAGCCAAGATCATCTGTCCCTAACCTCAGGTAATCACAGGCTGTGGCTGCCATTAGCCTGTCATTGTATTGTATGTGCTGAGTGGTCGCAGCTGTTCACATACTTGTCATTTCAGCCCCAGGAATCTGCAGATTCTTGCTGCTGGAATTTGCGGGGTACACTAATCACCCATGTGAATGTAGCCTAAGTTAGAATTAGTTATATCATTCCAGCATATACTTTTATTGACAGATTTGTAGAACGTGGCATCCTATCCTGCATTGTTCAAATGTTAAATTGGGTAGACCATTGAGTAGTAATTTTATTTTATTTTGATGATTGGTCAACATCTAATGATAAAATTTCAATGTAGAAATGATAAAGGATAGTGCTTATTGCTTTTGTGTGATAGTAACTGTACCAGGTATAATATACTGCCATGTCTACCCTATTTCACACATTGTGATTGTCCAAATTGCCACATACATGAGAGAATATGACATGCAGCCTTTCTTGCAATCTTGAAATGTTTTTTGACTCTTTTACTGAAGTAATTTCAAGGAATAGTTAATGCTTTCATATTCTGATTTTAATTATGATTATTTAGTACCAAAGTGCAGAGGGGTGTGGTAATATGCAGGGTGTAATTTGGATGTCGCCATCCATTTGGAGTGGCCAGAATAATAAAAAAATGATTACTACTTGGCTACTCTCCATTACTGTTTGCAGAAAGATTTCTTCTGAAAAGCATAGAGAGGAATTTCTGAGCTTTTAAATAAGTCTTCTACTTATACTGTACGTAGCCTGTAGGTGTTCAGTTCATGTCCACAGAGCTGGGAACGATCAATCATACATATTTTTTTTATTGTGAGAGATCTGAATATGACAGATTTGTTCTTGTTTAAGAAAAAAAAAAATACAAAGGGCCATCAATCAGAGTTAGCTGCATACTATCCCTTCCTGGTAATTGTGGCTTAATTTCTTTAAAGCTTTGCTGCTAAATGCCATTTGCAACAGTCCACTGATTCTCATTGCAGTCACTGGTTAGTTGTTGTGCAACGGGTGTCACTGTGATCCTTTAGTAGTATCACCTGTAGATGTCCTACCAGTTTTATATTTTCTCTTTCAATCTGTAACCAAACTGTAATAACCTGGTTGAACTGGACATACTATAGCCAATATATGACCCAAACCTTTAGGAGAATGCTCTTTCTATACTGTCCAAGGAACACTAGAATATAGCAATTTTTAGATGTGTAGACACTGGCATACAGAAATGGTTGAAGGCCCAATAAAACTCTGCGTTTAACCGCCATGGCTGTTTTTTGCTAGTGTCTTGCCAGGCTGGAAGCTTTTTTCCTCAGCTCTGCTGAGGACATTTCTAAATGTAGTTTGGCATTTTTTTTTACTTCTCTTTCTGTTTTTCTCTACTTTACTCAAGATGTTTACTGCACTGTTTGAGCTGGTCTCTATACAGCAGCCATCCAGATTGCTAATAGTCTGCATAGCCTTGAAGGATGTGCCTGGTCCTGGCTGGACTGAAGTTTTCAGGGACTAACAGGAATGTGACCTTTTGTGTATTGGGCTTTGCTCGTGGAGCGTTCTGGACCATGTGTGACAGCCACAGAACACTATCCAAGTGCAGAGAAGTTGGCAAACACTCTCTGGTGTGACCTAAAGGCTCACTCCCTGAGTAAGCCCATGGTTGGGGCGACGATATACTAGAATGTGGCCATTGGGCTCAGCATTTTTGCACGTTGCAGACATGCAGGTTCTATGTCAGTTAGCTACAGAACACTTTCCAGTTCTAGAGCAGAGGTAAAACCTCTGTGGTGCACCCAGTCTCTATTGTCAATTTGTGATGTATTTTTTTTGTGAAAATCTACCTCAGGAAATACAATAGTATCCTAATATGTTAACTTTGGATACTGCACTCTACATTGTGGTGCCTTCCAGACATGTTTCTGTTAGTCAAAAAACTGTTATTATTTTGAACTTTTGAAGGTCCTGCCTCCAGTATATCCAGCCTGGTATAATAACTTGCAAGGTCTGATGTAAATTTTAATATCTCCTTTGGACATTCAACTCTGTCATAGAGTGTCTCCAAGTATTTGTACTGAGCCTATATAGTGGCAGATCTGTTTCCAGGCCTAGAGTTGTGACACATTTCTTGTGTTTTCCAGTTTCTGAACACTGACTCCATCTTTAGATTTTTGCTTTGGTAGCACATTTTGCTATGTGACCTTAGCCACTGGATACTGCTGAATTAGTACGCTATAACTCTCTATCCAGGCCTGGAACAGTGACTCTTCTTTTGAGTTTGACCCTGTCTCTATTTCTTGCATTTGTTGAGCTGAGCTGTGTTGCAGAACACTGGCGGCCTATGCCTCACTCTACCTTGATCCACTCTAGTTTGTGACTATGCAAGACCTTACCTGTATTTGGGTCTAGTTGCTTACTGCAGTAACATGCGGGGGCATTGTCTTTTATAAGGACAGTTCTGTTAATATCAGGTGACCTTGTCCCATGTTCTCCTAGTTCTCGGATGGTTAGCAGGTCTCCCCTGTTCAAGCTGACATTTGTAGTCAAATTCCTTAGTCCCCTATTTATATGGGTTCATCCTCTTCACCAACTTCACTACCTGAGTCCTGCTATCTGTGTTTGATAGACCAGACCTCCAATCTCCACTTCTGACTTTGTCAGTCTAGAGCAGCGCCGGTCTTTCTTCTTTCAGGTCCACCCACTGGCACTGTCTGCTCCTCCTCCTCCTCTGTGTGCCATCACAGGAAGCCACTTATTGTGGTGGCACATGGTGAGGATTCAATACGAAGCTGTGCGCTGTTTCCATTGACACACAGTGCGGCTTGGCCACAAGGATTTGAGTCACTGGATTTGAATTACAACAAAAGGAGCCAATGGCTTTTGCTGTTCTCACTGAGTCCAGTGAGAAGGGAAAGAGAGCAGAGCCACTGCTCTTGGGCACAGCACTGGCATGAGATTGGGCTCAGGTAAGTATTTGGGGGGTTGGGGGAAGCTGACAATAGGTTTTTTAACCTTTAATGCAGAGTATGCATTAAGATTAAAAAAAAAAAAAAAAAAAAAAAAATCAATTTTTTCCATCCTTTTACAAACACTTTAAGTATGCCTGATGCTCCTGTCAGTATTTCCTGTGGGATTTGTGTTTTTAAGTGGGTCACTAGTGAGCCTGACTTACTCACTGTTGTGTCTAATCTGGTTGACACTGTACGCTTGGCGATCTAACGGACTTTAACCTGCTGATCCAGACTATGGCTTTTACTGCCGCAAACAGCCTGTACCTTCTTTTCTGAAAATTTCCGGTGTGAAACTGGTAATTTTTCTATGCTATCACAGCTTCCCTTTGCTCATGTGGGGCAGCATTTTTCCCCTGGACAGCGCTTTCCTGGACAACTGGACCTTGTATGGACTCTCCAGTCCACCTTAATAGACCTCACCCTAGTGAATAATGTGTTTACTTTTAGGGACTGATGCTCAGTCTTTAAGTACCAATTTGTTAACTGGAATAACTCTGTCCATTCCTGGTGACGACTTAATTTGTGAAACCATGTTTCAATTGGTCACATCATTTGAAACGGAGGCCACTCCCTTCAGTTGTGCTAGTCTCCTTGAAGCCTTTAAGTTGGTCACAATTACATCTGTCCATATCTGCAGGTTACTGTGGCTTCATACTTGTGAAATAGTTGGTATGGGTATTCAATGTCTTAATGACTTGCTAATACAGGGAAGGTTTTTTTTTTTTTTTTTTTTTTTTTTTTGGTCGGGGGGATAATTCTAATAGTGGCAAGCCCAAGCCTTCCAATTCTCTTTCTGGGGCCTGCTAAAGCATAGGAGATCTGTTATTGAAGTAGAACGATCTCCACCTACAACTAGTAACAGCTGTAGGCAAGCAAAATCTTTCTCCTATGTGGACTGCAGCTTTTTGTGCTGTAATCATTTATTTGGTACCACCCCTCTGTGTTTATTGGTCTTATGCACTGTTTGCTCACAAAACTGAGGCATGGTGGTTAGAGGAGTGGTTACAGTGGGCTGGCCTTAAACTTTTTCTTTTTTAAACTAACTTTTTTGTTCTGTTTGTCAGTGTTCACCTCCTATAGGCAGCCACAATGCGAGAATTACTGTTTATATTCCTGTGTTCCTTAATAGACTTTAAGAAAGACTTTACAGTAAGTATAAAAATCTTATTTTCCTCCTTCCCTTTAACCTTTTGTGGGATTTTTCTGTTCTAAAATGTGATGAATATAATAAATTTGAATAAAGTTTTCCAATTTGTATGTCAAAGCGTTTTTTGTGTGTTTGTGTATTCTTTATGTAGGAAGGTTGCATGTCTGATCAACCTCCATCTGAACATATATATTTTTTTGTTTTTATTGTATGAATTTTTGAGGCTATGGTTTAGCTTTTTAGCTTCATCATTAGTTTAAAGCAGTATTAACCCTAAAACTGTTCTGTGCAGCTTAAGAAAACAAATGCATCTGTCACATCTAAGAATGTAATATTTGCATTTTGGGCCTAATACCGCTTTAACCACTAGCCTACAGGGCACCTTTACCCCCTTCCTGCCCAGGCCAATTTCCAGCTTTCAGCGCTGTCACACTTTGAATAACAATTGCACGGTCATGCAACACTGTACCCATATGAAATTTGTATCATTTTTTTTTGAGACAGAGCTTTCTTTTGGTGGTATTTAATCACCTCTAGGATTTTTATTTTTTCTTAAACCAAAAACCACTGAAAATTTTGAAAAAAAAAAAAACGTTTTTTCTTAGTTTTTGTTTTACAATTTTGTAAATAAGTGATTTTTCTCCTTCACTGATGTGCGCTAATAAGGCTGCAGCGATAGACACTGATAGGTGGCACTGATGGGCACTGATGAGGAGGCACTGGTAGGTTGCACTGACTGGCACTGATGGATGACATTGAAAGGCAGCTCAGATGGGCACTGATATGTGGCATTGATGTGGCACTGATGGGCACTGGTACATGGCACTGATGGACACTGACAGGTGGCACTTCTGGGGCCACACTGATCATCAAGGCACTCTGATCATCAGTGTACATGTCCCCCTCCGCGGAAAGCCGACTACTGGCTCACCTCACCTCTCGAGCTGTCAGCGTGACCGCTCGAGAGGAGAGAAATGCCGATAACCGTCATTTCCGTGTTTACATGTGATCAGCTGTGATTGGACACAGCTGATCACATGACCGAGCCAACATCTTCGGCTGTTTCCGTGATCCGCTGTGTCCGAGGGACACAGCGCACTGGCGATCTGCGCGCTCCCTGAGCCGTGCATGCGCAGTGAAAATGGAAGGACATCCTATCAGAACGAGAGAACCACCTTGCGTCCGTCATTGTACTATATGGCGGGCGGAAGGTGGTTAAAGTATGTACAGCACCATTACAAAAATAAGATTACCTAATTGTTTATAAACCGCTTCCGCGCCCCCTCTAGCAGCAATACTGCTACAGGACAGCACGGGTGCTCAAAATCGCTTGTGTATATATATGTGATTTTGCAGTTCCAGGTAGGGGGTGCACATGCCCTACCCGCGCCACCATTCACGGCCTCGGCTGTCAATCACCGGGACCCAGCCAGTGATTCCCCCGCTGGCACCTGGCGATCTCCGAGTATTACTGACCTGTGTATAAACAACAAAGATCTCTCCCCTTTCAGCTCCTGCAGTGTAAAGCGCACACAGTAAAACAGCACATAGTTAACTGTTTGATCGCTCCACATGTTAACCCCTTCCTGCCCAGTGCCATTAGTACAGTGTCGGTGCTTTTTTATTAGCACTGATTACTGTATTGGTGTCACTGGGGATGTCAGTGACACCAAGTCAGTTCACCCCAGTGTCAGAATGCCCACGGCACTCCTGCTGTAAGTCGCTGATTGTGCCGCCATTACTGGTAAAAATATAAAAAGAATTCCAGTATGTTTACCGCCATTTTTAAAGGCTATAACTTTCACGTAAACCAATTAATTTACACGTATTGGGAATTTTTTTTTAGCAAAGACGTAGCAGAATACACTTTGGTCAAAATTTGACAAAATAGATTTTTTTTTTAAATATTTTTTTTACTGGACATGTTTAATAGCAAAAAGTCAAAAATATCTTTCTCAAAATTGTCGGTCTTTTTTTTGTTTTTATAGTGCAAAAAATAAAAACCACAGAGGCGATCAAGTACCACCTAAGGAATGCTCTATTTGTGGGGAAAAAAAAAAAAATGTAAATTTCATTTGGGTACAGTGTTTCTCAACTGCACCATTGTCAAAGTAACGCAGTACCATATCGCAAAAAATGGCCTGGTCAGGAAGGGGGGTAAATCTTCTGGAAGGCAAGTGGTTAAGAACACAGGGTAAAGTAATTCTTAGACATTAGTATATGCTGCTGTCATAGACAGCATTAAACCCTTCTTGCTTTAGTAGTTTGGGAATACCCATTTTAGGAAATTCATCATTTGCATACTTTAGGATGGTGGATCATGGATGGAGGGCCTTGCCATCCTACAATCTAGTAACAGTGAACTTTGCAGTGTAACTCCTAAAGGACCTGACACCAGTAGCCCAGATCACTGTCCCTTTTTGAGTCACAACACTCCTTTACGTTCTCCTTAAGTTCTTTTAGGCATGGCTCCATCCTCTCTCTTGTTCAGGCAGGAATTCTGTGCAACCATGTCAGTATATGGGGAGAATTTCAGACATATTAACTGGCTGTGCTTGCAGAAGCCACAAACATGATCTTATTTCCTCTCCTCCAGAGTCCTATGATTTCCCTGGGCTGCAGCTTCTTCTGCAGAATCAACGGAGGCTGATGAGGAATGTACCCTTTTTCTATTAGATGACATTAGAAGCCTCAGATTTAACAGTGAAATTTGATACCATTTTGGTCCTTATTGTTGCAGTTTGCACATCTGTGGACCTGAAGCAAACATGGTTACATTGTTAGTCAACATGCGTCAGCTGTCTCTAAAGTTAGCAGCCTAGATTCTCTTAGGAGTCCCCATCCTGTTAAAACTTTCCAGTGCACTTCTGCAATTTGTTTTGTTATAGTGATTTGCCTAATCCAGACAAAATGTTTACAGCTCCTAAATGCTTTGCCCTGCAATATCCTATAGAGGATAAAAATTGGGACATTCCTGTACCATCCCAGTAATTTCGCCTAGTGTCTCAGGAGTACGAATGTGATCTCATGCCGGGACGGTGTGGTTCCATAGATTTTTCTTTTTCCTTTTTTCCCTGGGAATTTTGCAGAGATCTTCTATCAACAGTCAGGCTGGACGATGGGCTGGATAATCTAGATCCAATGGTCACCCTAGCCTGACCAGCAAATGTGTGTAGACTGCTAGTTTTGTGCTCGGTCTGCCGCGCAATGCTCCATCCTGGACCAGCAAGTTAAATGTCTTGTGGGGACACATATATGACTGGGCGCCTACCATCTGTGTCAGTATTACCCCGGCCGACAGTCCCCCACTTCGGTGGAGGCGAGGATCTGTCATGAGAGCCTTACCCCCACGTTTCACTGGGTCGGTAAGTAGATACCCCCTCCCTTCCATTCCCGAACGTGGTGCAGTGATGCAGGTGATGCAGGTACTCCTTAGGGTGGTCGATCCTGCAGGGTTTCCTCCTCTTCCCTATGTGGTAGTTTCATGCTACCCTCCCCCCTTTTCATTGTTGCTGGGATGCAGGGCCCTTCTGTCTGCAACGTGTGACCTCCATGTCTTGCCTGGGCCCACTGATAGTGGTGTGGAATCCTGTGTTTTGTCTGCAGGGGTACACAGGTGCTGGGGCACTTTTGTGGTCTTGTGCATTCACCACTTTACCTTCCTCGGTGGTTATGGGACCGGCAGCATGGGAACTGTAATGTGCACTTCTGCACCCTTAGTGTTTGGCCAGTACATTTATTGCCAGATTTTGCTTGTGGCTGGGGCTGCCTCCTGTTGTTGCTGCCGGTGTGCTCCATGGGTGGGTGCACCTCGTGGTCGATCTGTCTGATAATTTTAGGCCGTGGCTGGGAGGGTTGTGACACCACTTACAGGGGTACTGGGAACAAGAGAACCGCCTGGTTAGGTTGCGTTTTTTTTTCTTTTCTATTCTGCATATCTTGCTAAGATCTACACTGATAGGAACGGCTGTAGTGCCTTTCTTTATGGTTCCCCATTGTGTGGCGGTACGTTTAGCCATTGAGGTGGCTATTTTAATAATGTGGGCCATTACCCCTGTGGCGCCACTTGCCATCCCTAGGTTCACAAAAAAACAACCATGTTACTGGTGGAGGAATCTTCCTCCTGGCAGGATCCTTCGGACCTTAAGGTGGACTCAACATGGCTACCGGCATAGAATGTTGTGGCCCCAGCCCAGGTGTCTCAGTCGCCGTTGAAGTGGGCAAGACGTTCACTCAACATTTGGCGTCGGGATAGGTTTCCCTGGTGTATGTGCTCTGCTGAAGTGGTTTGTCCAGGGATTGTACTATGTGACACATCTCTGATGCAGACCACTTTTGTCATGCTCTCTGGTTTGGCAGTGGTGTTCAGTGGGTACATTGGCTTATCTGTTGCTTGCTGAACAGAAGCTACTGGTAACATTTCCCTGCCTGGGTTTCCACCTCCCCAGAGCATCCTTAGAAGCCCTTGGAGGCTCCTGCAGGTATTGCCTAGGGCTCCTGGCATCCCAATGGTCTCAACCAGTGAATGAGTCTTCTTTTCTTCGGCCTGTAGGTTCACACTACCCGTTTTTCAGATTTGCAAATGAATTCCTTCTGGTTACTAATTGGAGTTTGGTTTTTGCTGGACAGGCCTTTTTTCCTTACAATCTGTGGTTTTTGCCAGTGCACCTGCATGCTTTATGTGGGGCTGTGAAGGACCTGCGCCTTCGAGGAGTGGTGGCCTGGTCCCTGAGTCAGAGCGGCCGATTTTGCTCCACTCTGTTCACAGTTCCTAAGTTGGATGGGGTTCGACCAATCTTGAATTTCAAGGCCCATTTTCCAGGTGTCAAAAACTGGCAAGCAGATTATCTGAGCTGTCAGATGCTGTTTCAGGGGCTGTGGTCCCTGACCCGGAGGTGTTTTATCAGTTTTGTCTTTGCTGGCGGATGTTGCAGATGAATCTTCTGGCATCCCTCCTCCTCCGAAAAGGTTCTGAGGTTTGTGTTAGACTCTAGCATACACAACGGATGTGCTGGTGGCACTGTGCAATTAGTACAGTCTCAACTTCGCTTTTCCACCCCTCGTGCCAATCTCTCGACTGCTGTGCAGGTTAGAAGTAGAAAACATACTGGTCTTTTTGGTGATTCCGCACTGGCCTTGCAGTCTGCAATACGCCCAATTTGTGCGGTTGGTGGCAGATGTTCATTGGTGGTTGCCTCTTTAGGAGGACCTTCTGACACAGGGGCCAGCCTTCCATTTGCCTTACCATTGCTGGCTTTGACGGCATGGCTATTGAAAGCCAGGTTCTGAAAGACAGGGTGTTTTCTTGCTAGTTGATTTCAACTATATTAAAGGCTTGTAAGTCTACCTTCCAGAAGATATATCATTGTTCCTGGAAAGCTTCTGTTTGTTGTGAAGCTTGGGCTTTCACCCTCACTTCTTCAGTGGCTCAGGTTGGCTTTCCTTAAATGTGGTGTTACTCAGAAGCTTGCTTTGAGTATGGCCAAGGGTCAGATTTCTGCTCTGGCTGTTTTTTCAGCTTCCATTGACCACACATTCTGTGGTTTGCACATTTTTCCAAGGGGTTTGTCATGTGGTGTCCCCGTGTTTTGTTGGCTCTTCAGAAGTCGCGTTTTGAGAGTAGTTGGAACATTCCCTTGCTTACGCTGTTGCAGATGGTTGCCTTCCTAGTCCATACCTACATTGTCCTTCTCTCCTTGTGGCTTTGTACTCCTTGGATGTGGTTTGTGTGACTCACGTGTACCTCCGGCTACCTTCTGGAGGTCTGATTCGCTTCTTGTGCTCCCAGACAGTTCTAGGAAGGGAATGGCAGCATCTTCTGCCGCTATATCCTGTTGGATTGTCAAACGATTGTGCATGCGTATGATATTAGGGGCGCCACCTCCCTTCCCCATGACGGTGCATGCCACCAGGGTAGTTAGCGCTTCCTGGCCATTCCTTCATGAGGGTCTGTTTCTCAAGTTTATAAAGCAGTCACCTGGTCATCTGTGCACCCATTTCCTGAATTTAATGAAGTGGATATCTTGGCCCCAAG